ATGTTGGCCAGTCTGGTCATGAACTCCTGAGCTCAAATGATCCACCCGCCTCGGCCTCCCAAAGTGCTGGGATTACAGGTGTGAGCCACCGCGCCCAGCTGGCTTAAGTCTTAAGCAGCAGCTTCCACTTTTGTGTTCTGGGGGAGGCTAGCAGCTATATAAGAAGTCTGTGCTGGTTGCAAAAAGTGCAAGGTTTAAAAAAAAAAAAGACTGTTCTGAGACCACATGGCAAGGCCACGAGGCAAGAGAGGCCAGGAGGAGAGGCCACTTGAAGGGACAACTTGCAGCATGTGCAGAGGCCACATGGGGAGTAAAAAACTGCCAGAGGGAGCACTGAGGAACTAAGGCAGCAGACACATGATCCAGCCAGCCATCTGCCACTCGGGCCAGCCGAGCTGAGGTGCCACACATGCAGCACAGAAGCCACTGTGGGCACTTGGAGCAGAGACAAGCTGTCCCCTCATGCTCTGTCCTAATTCCTCACCCACAGGATTATGAGCAAATACATTGGTGGTTATTTTAAGCCCTTAAAAAACAGAATTACTGGCGGGGTGTGGCAACTCACACCTGTAATCCCAACACTTTGGGAGGCCGAGGTGGGTGGATCACTTGAGGTCAGGAGTTTGAGACTAGCCTGGCCTACATGGCGAAACCCTGTCTCTACTAAAAATACAAAAATTTTTTTTATTTTGTATTTTGAGGGCATGGTGGCAAACATCTGTAATCCAGCTATTTGGGAGGCTGAGGCACAAGAGCTGCTTGGACCTGGGAAGTGGAATTTGCAGTGAGCTGAAATCTGAGATCATGCCACTCCACTTCAGCGTAGGCAACAAAGTGAGACTCTGTCTCAAAAAATAAATAAACAAATAAATAAATTACTGTATAATCCAGTAACCACCACTGGGTATATATCCCATGGAAATGAATCTAGTATGTTGAAGAAATATCTGCGTTCGCACGTTTATTGCAGCATTATTCACTAAGTTTTGAGGTGTGTCATTACATGGCGGCAGCCAGAACCCCTGGCCCTCGGCTACTACTGTTGCTGGTTTCTTGCGACCCTTCCAACACGAACCTCTGCATCCTCAAATACATGAAGCTGGACATGGTGGCACACGCCTGCAGTCCCAGCTACTCAGGAGGCTGAGGTGGGAGGATCACCAGAGCCCAGGAGTTTGAGGATGGGGTGTGCTATGATCTCACTGTGAACAGCCACTGCACTCCAGCCTGGGTGATACAGTGAGACCATTTCTAAACAGACAAACAAACCAAAAATAATATGTACATTCCCACTCCTCCCCTCATTTATGTGGGGTTCACACACCACACATCTGGCCTGCTCTTGGCTTTTTTTTTTTCCAATTAATGATAGATCTTGGAGATTGTTCTAGGTGTGTACTGTTCAATATAGTAGTCGCTAGTCCAGGAGGTGATTTAAATTTATTTAAAAAAATTAAGTTTTATGTATTTTTTAAAATAGAGCAATCCTCCTGCCTCAGCCTCCCAAGTAGCTGGGACTACAGGCACACACCACCATGCCTGGCTTATTTTTTTTTGAGACGGAGTCTCACTCTGTTGCCCAGGATGCAGTGCAGTGGCACGATCTCGGCTCACTGCAACCTCTGCCACCGGGGTTCAAGTGATTCTCCTGCCTCAGCCTCCTGAGTAGCTGGGATTACAGGCACCTGCCACTGTGCCTGGCGAATTTTTTGTGGGTTTTTAGTAGAGACGGGGTTTGACCATCTTGGCCAGGCTGGTCTTGAACTCCTGACCTCATGATTCACCCGCCTCAGCCTCCCAAAGTGCTGGGATTACGGGTGTGAACCACTGCACCTGGCCTTAACTTAAATACAATTCAATAAAATTAAAAATTCAGTTCCTCAAGTACACTAGCCACGTTTCAGGAATTCAACAAACACACATGGCTGATAGCTGCCATATCAACCCAGATAGAGAACATGTCCATCATTCTAGAAGGTTCTGTTGGACAGTGCTGGTCTAAATCCTCTCCCATGGAGCTGCCTCATTCTTCTTAGTGTTCTTTGGTAATGACAGCCACTGACGTTACGTCACAAGCTTTGCTATTGTAAAGCATTTGCCATTGTCCATTTGTCTTTAAGCAAGTATGAGTGTCTTGGTGGCATAAATGCCTTGCATTTCTGGGTCCAGTGACATTTCCCATTTTGATGGGCATGGCCAGATTGGAACTGGAGGTTATACCACTTTGCACAGCTACTGAAACTGTAAGAGTGCCTGTTTTTCCACACCTTCATCAACACTGTGTCATTCACATTTTAAAAATATTTTCGTTAATGGCAAAGATTTTCCAGACAAACATGGCTTTACCAGGCCCCTGCCCTGCCTATTGCCTCTCAAGTCACAATGCCAGTGGGCACCTTTCCACAGGTGAAGATCCATCTTTTGTTTGTTAGAAATGAGATCTTCCTGTATTGCCCAGGCTGGTCTCGAACTCCTGGGCACAAGGGAACGTCCTGCCTCAGCCTCCCAAAGTGCTGGGATTACAGGTGTGAACCACTGCGCCTGGCCCATGTTGGCCTTTTTTTTCAAATTGGGGTAAAATATGCAGAACATAAAACTTACCGTATTAACCATTTTAAGTGCACAGTTCAGTGCCATTAAGGACAGTCACGCTGTTGGGTAATCATCACCACCATCCATCTCCAGAGCCCTTTCCATTTTCCGAAACAGTAACTCTATATCCATTAAACAAGAACTTCCTCCCACCTCAGCTTCTGGCAAGCACTGTTCTATTTTCTGTCTTTATGAATCTGACTACTCAAGGTACTTCATGCAAGTGGTATCATGCAGTATTTGTCCTTTTGTGACTGGCTTATTTCACTTAGCACAATATCCTTAAGGTTCATCCATGTTGTAGCCTGTGTCAGAATCTTATTCCTTTTTAAGGCTAAATAACATTCTGTTGTACAGACACACTGCATTTTGTCCATTCATCCATCGATGGACATGAGCTGCTTTCACCTCTTTTTTTTTTTTTAAACAGAGTCTTGCTCTGTCACCCAGGCTGGAGTGCAGTGGTGTGATCTTGGCTCACTGCAACCTCCGCCTCCAGGGTTCAAGCGATTCTCCTGTCTCAGCCTCCTGAGTAGCTGGGATTACAGGTGCCCGCCACCACACCCGGCTAATTGCTTCTACCTTTTGGCTATTGTGAAGAAGGCTGCTATCAACATGGGTGTACAAATATCTCTTCCAGATCTTGCTTTCAATTTGTTTGGGTACACACCCAGAAATAACATTGCTGGGTCATTTGGTAATTCTATTTTTAATTTTTTGAGGAACAACCATACTATTTCCTACAGTAGCTACACAAGCATTCCAGTTTCTACACATCCTCCCCAACGCAGCAGCCATCCTAAGGGGCGTAAGGTGGTAGCTCACTGTGTTTTATTCCTTTTATTTTTAGTTGACACATAATAATTGTACATGTTCATGGGACACAGAACGATATCTCAATACATGTATACAACATGTAATGATCAAATCTGGGTAATTAGGATATCCATGACCTCAAGCATTTATCATTTCTTTGTGTTGGGAACATTCAAAATCCTCCCTTCTCATTGCGTTTTTTTTTTGTTTGTTTGGTTGGTTGGTTTGTTTTGTTTTTTTTTTGAGATGGAGTCTCACTCTGTCGCCCAGGCTGGAGTGCAGCGGTGCAATCTTGGCTCGCTGCAACCTCCGCCTCCCAGGTTCAAGCAATTCTCCTGCCTCAGCCTCCCAAGTAGCTGGGACTACTGGCACGTACCACCACGCCCAGCTAATTTTTGTATTTTTAGTAGAGATGGGATTTCACCATGTCGGCCAGGCTGGTCTCGAACTCTTGACCTCAGGTGATCCACCAAAGTGTTGGCGTGAGCTACCGCACCTGTCCTCATTGAAGTTTTGGTTTGTATTTCTTTAATGGTTAGTGATGTTGAGCATCTTATCATGTGATTATTAGCCATTCACAGTTTTCTTTGGAGAAATGTTTATTCAAGTCCTTTGCTCATTTTTAATTGAGTTGTTTTTATTGCTGTTGAGTTGTAAAAGTTCTTTATGTATTCTGGATATGAACCCCTTATCAGATATATGATTGGCAAATATTTTCTCCCACTCCATGTTTCCATGTTACATTTTTTTTTTTTTTTTTTTAAGGCAGAGTCTTGCTCTTGCTCTGTCACCCAGGTTGGAGTGCAGAGGCACAATTTCGACTCACTGCAACCTCCGTCTCCTGGGTTCAAGTGATTCTCATGCTTCAGCCTCCTGAGTAGCTGGGATTACAGATGTGCGCCACCATGCCTGGCCTTTTTTTTTTTTTTTTTAATTTTTAGTAGAGATGGGGTTTCACCATGTTGGCCAGGCTGGTCTCAAACTCCTGACCTCAAGTAATCCAGCCACCTCGGCCTCCCAAAGTGCTAGGATTACAGGCATGAGCCGCCATGCCTGGCTGACCCCCACTATTTCTATGACACAAATTCCTGCTACTCTGTCATCACCGCAACTACGTGCTCCTACCTCAGGGCCTTTGCACTTACTGTTCCCTCTGTGTGGTCTGAGATCCCCGCAGATACCTGCTTCACCACATTCAGGTTTTTGCTTAAATGTCACCTCAGTGAGGCCTTCCCTGACTACTCTAACATAAAGTTAAAATGAACTCCCCTAGCTTGGGCAATATGAGACCTGATCTCTACAAAACATTAAAAAAAAATCTGCTGGGCATGGTGGCATGTCCCTGTGGTCCCAGCTACTTGGGAGGTTGAGGGGGGAGGATCACTTGAGCCCAGGAAGCAGAGGTTACAGTGGGCAGACATCGCGCCACCGCACTCCAGTGGTGAGGCCCTGTCTCAACAAACAAAGAAACAAAATAACCCGGAAAACAAACAATCAAATTTTCGAGAACTCCTGCTCTGCTCCCCTGCTGTATTTTCCTCCGTAGTGCTGACCAGAATTGAACACAATCTATACTTTAATCATTGATCTTGTTTAGTGCTTGTCTGCCCCCAGGACAATTTCAGCTCCATGAGAACAGAAATTGCTTGTCTTGTCCATGAATGTGTCTTTAGGGCCGGAATTACATGATGTGCCAAGGAACATCTGATGAAAGACTACATGAAGGTTGAGCACTATTTTCTGTTCGTGGGACACTCTGGTTCCTCTCGGCAGCCTGCTGATGCCCTGTGTGCATCTGTCACATCCATGGCACTGGCCTCCCCTGATCCCAGAATAAGGGCGCCCAGCGGGTCTTCACGCATGTGAATGGCTCCTGCAGCCCCAGAATCTACCACCTGGGGGCAGTATATACTCAGGCAAGTTTCACTACCAGGCCTGAGCACCTCCCGTCTCCAAAATCCTGGATCCCAGCACCTCAGAGCCTGGCAGCCCTCAGGGATCTATCTCTGCCAGCCCCATTTGGCAGATGGGGGAATCGAGGCCTCAGAGAGGAAGCATGATGGGGAAAATCTCAAACATTGGAATCAGGGAATCTGACTTTTAAGTCTGGCTCTTGTACCCATTCACAAGGGTACAAGGGGGATTTGGAGGGGGAAGTAGGAAGTACTCACCTCTTTGGGCCGCAGTTGCCCCATTTGCCTGCTTTGTGGGGTGAAAGGGACATCTGCTTCACTCTGATGTGTCGGGGAAGGCCAGCAGCGAGGGGGAACAGCAGGCCCAGAATCCCAGATAGAAGATTGTCACCCCATTTTATATATCAGGGAATGAGGCCCAGAGGGGACATCAGACATGGCCGGAGAGCCACAGCATGGAAGGCACAGGGCAGGATAAAAGGCCAACCCCTGCCATCCCCCTGCCCCATACCCACTAGAGACGTCCCCCATTCATGTTCTGATGGTTCCCCTTTCTGCCGTATTTTCCCGCCTGCTAGTTCTAAGCCCCTTGGCAGAACACTGGCTGTCAAAGCAGCCACGTGGGTCTCCCCTTGGCGAGTCGCCTCAGTTTTCTCCTCTTGAAAATGGGATAGGGAAAAGCTGCAGAGATGGGGAGGAGGAATTGTGAAAGCAGTTTGGGGGCAGAGGAGGACGTGTGTCCCAGGTAGGAAAGTGCCTGTTCCCTCCCCGCCCCCGCCTGGCTTCTGCCCACCACCATGTGGCCACGTGGGCCCAGCCCACAGCTTCAGGTTTTAAAAGAGGAGCTGGAAATTTGAATTTTGATGTGAAATCTCCTGATTTTTAAATGTTGGCAATAAATTCACTTAAACATACATACATCAAGCAAAACGCTATGGGGTCAAACTGAACACATCTGTGGTCTGGATTTGGCCACTGGCTGCCAGTTTGAGACCCTTTCCGGCTCTAGGTTCTGAGGGCAGGTGACTGGGAGAGGTGGCGCCAGGGGGATCCTGGTTTCCTGGGCCCACACAGCCACTCGCGTGCTCTGGGCCTCTGGGCCGTGGTGGTTCAAGCCCCCACCATCCCCGCTCCTTGGGGAAAGGCTGAAAAGTACTGGGGTGGGGGTGGGGGAGCAGCAGGCGTGGCCTGTTGAGCAAGAGCCTTGTAAAAACAAGGGCTTACGTCACCCTAGCTTGCAGCTTCCCTGCAGGACACCTGGCTTGGCACCGGGGTGGGACCTGCTCTGAGAAGGGATGGGTCATCCCCGGCAGGGGGTGGAGGGTGGGGAAGGGTGGCAAGCATGTTCCACCCCAGAGGCCAGAGGGCCTAGACCCCGCTGGGGCTGAGTCTTTGGGGGCTGGCCTGCAAGGTGCGAGTAACACCTTAGCATACTGTGTGACCACAGGTCTACCCTTCTCTGGGCCTCAGTTCTTCTATCCAGAAGATGGCACTCACATTGCCAGGCCTGTTATGCCAAACCCAAGGGGGTAAGTCTGGCTGGAAAGATGTTATTCCTTCTCGTCCTTTCATGTGACCTGGAGCAGATGCACTTAGCTCTTTTGGGCCTCAGTTTCCTCATCTGTAAAGTGGAGATAATTATAAGACTTTGGCCAGGTGCAGTGGCTCATGCCTGTAATCTCAGCACTTTGGGAGGCTGAGGCAAGAGGGCCACTTGAGGCCAGGCGTACGAGAAAAGCCTGAGCAACACAGTGAGATATCCATCTCTACAAAACATTGAAAAAGATGAAAAAAGAAGAAAAAAAGACCTGCCTCCCACAAATTATCAGTAGGATTAAATGAGTTAATACATGCAAAGAGCTTGGAATGTGGTTCAGGGAGGTGGAAGGTTGGCCCGAGGACAAACAGCAAACCCTCCAATTAGCTTCAGTCCCCCAAATCTCCCTGCATCTCTTCAGAATCCAGAAGGGGGCCATGGGCGAGTGCCGTGGCTCAGAGAGGGGAACCATTTTACCTAAGGTCACCAGTCCAGCTAATGAGGAACCTCTCCTTCTTCTCAGCCTCCTCCATTTATTCACTCACCATTCATTGAGCACCTTCTGTGTACCAGGCTCTGTTCTAGGCACCAGGGACACAATAGTGAAGGCTGTGGGGACAGACAGCAAGACAGGCAGGCAAGGTAATTGTGATTACAATGAGAACGGTGACAGAAATGAAGCAGGGGTGTGAGAGGAGTGACTGAGGGCCTGGATTTCCCATGCGGAGGTCAGGGAGGGCTTCCTGGAGGAGACAGCTTTTGGGCTGAGACCTAGGAGCTGCCTTGGGCAGAGGTGGGGGGACAGTGTTCTTGTTGCAGAGGGAACAGCAAATGCATTCATTCACTGGTAAATGTTGAGCGTGCTGAGCTCAGGAGTCCCTCGTGGGCCAGCCCTCCCTAAGTGGCAGCCTAGAGGGAGACTGAGGTAGACAGCTAGGATAATGGTGGCTGGCGATAGGGAAGGAAATTCACTAGCAGGTAGGACAGGGAGGGCCTCTCAGAAGCTGTGGCCTCTAGCTCAGCCCTGAGTGTCCCATTTTGCAGTGAGGAAGACCTGGCTGGGTGGCCCTGGGGAAGCTGCCGCACCCCTCTGGGCCTTGATCCCTCCCCAGCCCAGAGGCTGCTGGGAAGGCCCAGAAAGCCAGCAGGCTGGGCCTGTGTTTTATCCCCTCCCTCCCTGCCTCCTACCCACCAAGGGTGCCCAGAGATGTCATTTCTCCAGCCTTTGGGGGCAGAGGTCACCCCAGCTCAGCAGATAACACCAAAGGTTGAGCAATGTCTGCCTGCCCACTGAGGCCAGGGCTGGGGTCAGTGGGCCAGGGGTCAGCCCCGGGCAGGCTGAGAGCTCCTGCCGGGGCGGCCTGGGCTAGGAGTGGCAGAGAGGTGGGCCCAGGGAGCTGCCCCAATGGCCTAGGAATGGGTCCGGAAGGGCAAAGCAAAGGGCCCTCTAACCTGAGCCTAGGGAGCAGAGGCGGGCCGGTAGTTAGAGGGCCTTGGGTCTGTGTTCAAGTCCAGGCAGGCCGTTGTCACTTTCCCGTCTGTGAAACGGCAGCAGCAAAAGCATCTTCCTGGTGGGGTGAAAAAGAACCTCGGGGTCCAGGCCCACCCTGAGCACAGGGCAGGGACTTAGTAAAAACTTCTCTTTCTCTTTCCTTCTCTGTTTCCTGCATGCCACCCCCCTCCCGTGAGGCCTGGCTTAAGCCCCTCCCCAGCAGCTTCAGAAACAGAAGCTTTTTGGCCTCTGGGGCTGGCAATAGGTCTTAGGGCCCAGATGAGGGCATTTCGTTTGGGATGAATGGGGGACATGCGGCCATGTGACCTTGGTATGCCATGCCATGCTCCCTCTGGGCCTCCACTGGCACAATCCATGGGGGTCCCTTTCTCTCTGATGTGCAGCCCACAACGTAAGCCTTAGGTTTGGGAGTCTGGTGGGAGCAATGCCACCACCACTGACAGTAGCGACACCCTTCATGGACTGCAGCTGGGAGAAGTGACTCATCCAAGGTCACACAGTGTGGCAGGGCCCAGCACCCCCCCGCCCCTGCACCATCCCAGGGCCCAGGTCGGATGGCGCGGCGCGGGGCAGGAGAAGACCCGGGTGTGTACAAGCCGCAAGCAGGCGGCAGGTGCGGTGGGCGGGGCTAGGGGCGGGGCGCCGTGGACCAGGGTCCAGCCCCCAGCGCAGCGCGATCCTGCTCCGTCCCCTCGACCCCCGGGGTCCTCATATTGGCGGTGGCTTAAGAGGGGAATCGTCACAGGCGTGAAGTCTCCTCCTTTCTAGAGCTGGGGACCTGGGGAAAAGGTGGGAGTTTAGGGGGAAGGGCCACGGAGATGGGTCGCTTCTCCTGGAGCTAGAGTTGCGGGCTGGGGTCTCCAATGTTCGGCCCGGGGAGCGGCCCCTGGTCCGCCGTCGGGGCTCTGCTCGGTCCTCCTGAAACCTCCGCCTCCTCCAGCAGGGGGCGGGCCGGGGCCGCATCTCCGGGGGAAGGCGATCAGGTCGCCCCCTCCTCCGATTCCCCCGCCTTCCAGGACAGCCTCCAGCCCAGAGGGGCGGTCTGGGGGCGGGGTCGCACCGCCCCCTCTCGCTCCCAATCCCGGGGCGGCCGGGCGGGGGTGGGCAGGGGGCGTGAGGCCACCCCCTGCGGCCCGGGGACCCCCCCCCGAAAACGCGCTCCGGGTGCCCGGTCCCTCCGCTGCGCCCTGCAGCCGTCCTCCTGGGGGTCTCGGGCGGCCGCGGCGGTGTCCTTCGCGTCCCGGCGGCGCGGCGGGAGGGGCCGGTGTGACGCAGCGGTTGCTACGGGCCGCCCTTATAAATAACCGGGCTCAGGAGAAACTTTAGCGAGTCAGAGCCGCGCACGGGACTGGGAAGGGGACCCACCCGAGGGTTCAGCCACCAGCCCCCGCACTAATAGCGGCCACCCCGGCAGCGGCGGCAGCAGCAGCGACGCAGCGGCGACAGCTCAGAGCAGGGAGGCCGCGCCACCTGCGGGCCGGCCGGAGCGGGCAGCCCCAGGCCCCCTCCCCGGGCACCCGCGTTCATGCAACGCCTGGTGGCCTGGGACCCAGCATGTCTCCCCCTGCCGCCGCCGCCTGCCTTTAAATCCATGGAAGTGGCCAACTTCTACTACGAGGCGGACTGCTTGGCTGCTGCGTACGGCGGCAAGGCGGCCCCCGCGGCGCCCCCCGCGGCCAGACCCGGGCCGCGCCCCCCAGCCGGCGAGCTGGGCAGCATCGGCGACCACGAGCGCGCCATCGACTTCAGCCCGTACCTGGAGCCGCTGGGCGCGCCGCAGGCCCCGGCGCCCGCCACGGCCACGGACACCTTCGAGGCGGCTCCGCCCGCGCCCGCCCCCGCGCCCGCCTCCTCCGGGCAGCACCACGACTTCCTCTCCGACCTCTTCTCCGACGACTACGGGGGCAAGAACTGCAAGAAGCCGGCCGAGTACGGCTACGTGAGCCTGGGGCGCCTGGGGGCCGCCAAGGGCGCGCTGCACCCCGGCTGCTTCGCGCCCCTGCACCCGCCACCCCCGCCGCCGCCGCCGCCCGCCGAGCTCAAGGCGGAGCCGGGCTTCGAGCCCGCGGACTGCAAGCGGAAGGAGGAGGCCGGGGCGCCGGGCGGCGGCGCAGGCATGGCGGCGGGCTTCCCGTACGCGCTGCGCGCTTACCTCGGCTACCAGGCGGTGCCGAGCGGCAGCAGCGGGAGCCTCTCCACGTCCTCGTCGTCCAGCCCGCCGGGCACGCCGAGCCCCGCCGACGCCAAGGCGCCCCCGGCCGCCTGCTACGCGGGGGCCGCGCCGCCGCCCTCGCAGGTCAAGAGCAAGGCCAAGAAGACAGTGGACAAGCACAGCGACGAGTACAAGATCCGGCGCGAGCGCAACAACATCGCCGTGCGCAAGAGCCGCGACAAGGCCAAGATGCGCAACCTGGAGACGCAGCACAAGGTCCTGGAGCTCACGGCCGAGAACGAGCGGCTCCAGAAGAAGGTGGAGCAGCTGTCGCGCGAGCTCAGCACCCTGCGGAACTTGTTCAAGCAGCTGCCCGAGCCCCTGCTCGCCTCCTCCGGCCACTGCTAGCGCGGCCCCCGCGCGCGTCCCCCTGCCGGCCGGGGCCGAGACTCCGGGGAGCGCCCGCGCCCGCGCCCCCGCCTCCGCCCCCGGCGGCGCCGGCAAAACTTTGGCACTGGGGCACTTGGCAGCGCGGGGAGCCCGTCGGTAATTTTAATATTTTATTATATATATATATCTATATTTTTGTCCAAACCAACCGCACATGCAGATGGGGCGCCCGCCCGTGGTGTTATTTAAAGAAGAAACGTCTATGTGTACAGATGAATGATAAACTCTCTGCCTCTCCCTCTGCCCCTCTCCAGGCGCCGGCGGGCGGGCCGGTTTCGAAGTTGATGCAATCGGTTTAAACATGGCTGAACGCGTGTGTACACGGGACTGACGCAACCCACGTGTAACTGTCAGCCGGGCCCTGAGTAATCGCTTAAAGATGTTCCTACGGGCTTGTTGCTGTTGATGTTTTGTTTTGTTTTGTTTTTTGGTCTTTTTTTTGTATTATAAAAAATAATCTATTTCTATGAGAAAAGAGGCGTCTGTATATTTTGGGAATCTTCCGTTTCAAGCATTAAGTAAGAACACTTTTAATAAACTTTTTTTTGAGAATGGTTACAAAGCCTTTTGGGGGCAGTAATTGGCTTTTGTTTTTTTTTGCTTTATTTTGGATTTGTAGGATTTTGTTTTTGCGTTTCTGGTGTGTAGTGGGTTGTGTGTGGGGGGCTGCTGTTATTTTTGGAGGTTTTGGTGGTTGGTGGGGGTGTTGCAGCTGGTTTTTCTGCCTCCTCTGCTACACCCTCCCCCCACCCACAGGGTCTGCTTGGAGATAGGGTTCCAGCCCTGGGGGAAAGGGGAGAAGAGTAATGGGTCAGGCTTTCAGGCTGACTCAGAGCTCCTGGGCGCCGGGACCGGTGGCTGGGAACCCTGCTTGAGAAGAGATTCCGGGGCCTCTGACTGGTCCCGAGTGTCAGGCTTGGGTTTGGAAGGGCTGGGAGGTCTGTGACCCCTGCCCTGTGTTTGGGGACTAGATAGGCAGGCCTGTGACTGTAGGAGGAAGGGTTCAGGTCTTGGTCCTGCTGAGCCCGAGTCAGGGCAGATGCTTTTAGTAAGTGTAGTTGGGTGGGTTGTTTAAAACACAGTTTGTGTATACATGTGCATTTTAAAGAGGGGATCCTGGGTGCGTGGGCGAATCTGTTTGTGTGTCCCTGGCCAGCAGGAGGGGAGAGGCCAGGCCAGGTGGAGGGAGGTAGGGGAGGGGTTCCCACACTTTGATTCCCTTTCCTGGGGATGGGAGGCTCATCACTTGCCCTCTTTGCCCAGACGTGGACACTGAGCCCACCTCACCTGCCCGCTCAAGGTGGCTGAGCCCAGGCACAAACTTGGGGCTGCTAGCCCTGATTCCCTGGCACAGGCTCCTCTTCCTCGCCCCCTGATCCCTTTGCCCCTTCCAGCTTCTCACTGCACCCCCTACTCCTATCCAGCCCTGGATGGCATTCCTGAGAGTTGAGGATGTAGATGGATGTGAGTGGATCCATGTACAGCGGCCCACAGTGCCTGGCACGCAAGAGGTGTTATATAAGCGCTTGCTCTTGTTATTATTTTCACTGGGAAGCTGCTGGCATTTGGCTCCCCAGTCTCCAGTGCAATGCCAGTGTGGCCAGTACTTGCCAGGGGCCGGCATCTGGTAAACACTGGACCTGCCCCATCCCATTTAGACCTCACAACAACCTTTGGGAAGATGGGGACTGTGGTGACGCCTGTTTTTAGAGATGGGGAGCAGCTTTGGGCTGTCTGATCCCTATGGGCAAGACACTGGTTGGGGGTTGCCCTGCCCTGAGGAATTTAGGGGCAGCAGGCGTCGTAGACTGGCTTGCCAAGGACCCGGGGCTATCTGGGATCTCAGGAGCAGCTGCTGATACCGTGGTTGAGGAATGGGAAATGCTTTGCCCCTCCTTTTTCTTTTGGGGGCCTGGTTGTGCTTTCCCTGTGGGAGCCTGGGGTGTAGGGAGCAGACAGCGACACTCATCCCCCACCGTCACAGAGCCGAGGATTCCTACAAGCTCCACCTCCCTAACGCCAGTGTCTCCTGATGGTGGCTTGAGGGCTATGCAGCTTGCTGGACACAGATAACCTCACTTCAACCTGAAACCTGCAGTATGGCCCTGACCACATCTCCTCCCAGCCCTGGGCAACTGGACGACTGGCCAGGCATGCCTTCGAAGCCTTGAAGTCAGTCCAGTCCTAAGCCCCACTGGTCTTGATGGTTTCTGTCAGTAGCAGCAACAGCAACGTGGGCTCGACCTCGAGGATTTACTTGCTGAAGACAGAGGCTGGGGGGCTGAACCTAGGGAAGATGGGCGGTGGGGAGGGTTGAAATTTAGGAACAAATCTCAAATCCCTGCTCCCTCCTTTGTCACCAAGAGTTGGCTGGTGGCCACTGCTCACCCAAATGAGGTGAGAGGGAAGCAGCCTGGCCAGACGGTGCCCCCCATCTGTCCCCGTCTGCCCCACAGCTTCTGTTTCCCCAGCACTGTCCTGGAACCAGCGTCGAGTCAGTTTTTCACACACTCACATCTTGCTCTCATCCACATAAGCGCCCCACAGAAGGTACTACACCCATTTCTAAAAGCGCACATTGAGGTCCACAGAAGTGAGGTTTGTGCTCAAGGTGGGCTGGGTGGAGCAGGTTACAAAACCATCCGACTCCCAGGTCTGTGGGGAAAGTCTGGGGCTGGGAGCCTGGCTTGTAATCCCGGTTTCTGTTTCAAATCCCAGGCCCTTCTTGGAGGGCTCCTTGCCTGGCCTCAAGTTCAGGCACTCCAGGCCCCAGAACTGCAAACATCAGTTTCACAGTTTGGAAGCAACAGAAAGTAAATTTGAACCTGAGCCTCTCAGGCTGCCTCTAAAGAGGGCTGGGAAAAGGAGTTTACAGGTTGAGGGCTTTGACGGTGGCCTGGTGTGGGAGCACTGTGGATGGAGCTGTGCCCAAAGGACTTGGGGAGATGTCATAGTTGGGGTGACACCCGCCCCA